TGATAACTGAAAGCTCTGCCTCCCATTCTACTTTTAGAAACTCGAGGAACCACAAGTAAACCTGCAGTCTGAGAGTGAAGTGCTCTGTTAGGAAAGRATGGAACAATAKGATGTTTAATTTATGATGGAGCTTGGTTGTTGGGAGCTTTGTATGTTATACGTAAGATTTTAAATTCTATTCTAGTAGTCTCTTAGAAACATTTCTGGGGAAGTATACCTTTAGATCCCCCTAGAACTGCTTCACTCCACAGCTGCTTGTTTACATGAGAAGTTGTTGGCAGGTATGACGTAGACCTCTGGTATTCTGTTTCAAATAAATTATATTGCTAAACTGTTTAATTTRTTATGTGAGTGTATGTAAATCGGCAGTGAGATTAAGAAAACTGCACAAGGGGCACCACCTGAAATCGTGCCGGGGGCGCAGAATCGTCTAGGGCCGACCCTGACCTCCATGTTGCTCTTCATCAGTCATCAGCAGCCGACTCACTGAAGAGCATGAAACAAAGTTCTGTCTGTTGCTACTGAACCATCAACGTGGCAAAGCCCCGCTCCAATGTCAGCACCGATGAAGAATAATAAATATATGAGAAAGTTCTTATYCTAAGGGGAAAAACTGAAAACTGASWACWTATACTAATATAGTTGTTATTAGCTGGCAAAAAAAGGAATTCAATTAGTGATTGTTTACGTTTGTTCCCTTTTTGTCCTGCAGTCAGTGTGAGAGGAACCCCTGCCCCATGAACAGCCGCTCCTGCCACCACGCTCCCAAGACGATGTCCTTCCACTACCTGTCCCTGCCCTCCAACCTGCAGACCCCCGCCACCCTGTTCCGCATGGCGACCGCCTCGGCCCCGGGCCGCGCGGGGCCCGACAGCCTCCGCTTTGGCATCGCGGGCGGGAACTCCCGGGGCACCTTCGTCATGCAGCGCTCGGACCGGCAGACCGGCGAGCTGATCCTGACGCAGCGGCTGCGCGGGCCTCAGGAGGTCCGCGTRGACGTGGACATGTCCGAGTACAGCGACCGCGCGTTTCAGGCCAAGCACGTGGCCAGGGTCCACATTCTGGTGTCGCCTTACAACTTCTGAGCGAGAGCTRGGGGGAGCGACGAGACTGAAACCTATAGGACCAAAGGAGAGAGCTCTTTAGTTCACTTTCAAAGAGTCTGCAGTCCCACGCCAACATCTGTTCAGTGGCAAAATGATCTAAAAGTAGGGTATGTAAGACCTCATTTTGTAATAACAACGCATTATGTAATAATGTAATAAAATCAGGCTTCAAAATGTGATAAACTCACGCTAAAACCGCGTTATGTAATAACTGACGAAAAATGTAATAAACTCGCGCTAAAACCGCATTATGTAATAACTGACGAAAAATGTAATAAAAGTCTTTAACGCATTATGTAATAATGTTATTACATTTTGCGGCAATTATTACAAAACGTGGTGGTGTAATAATCTGGTGCATTATGTAATAATGTAATAAAATAAGGCTTCAAAATGTGATAAACTCGCGCTAAAACCACATTATGTAATAATTGACGCAAAATGTAATAAAAGTCTTCAACGCATTATGTAATAATGTCATAAACTCGAGCTAAAACCGCATTATGTAATAATTGACGCAAAATGTAATAAACTCACGCTAAAACCGCGTTATGTAATAATTGAAGCAAAATGTAATAAAAGTCTTCAACGTATTATGTAATAATGTCATAAACTCGAGCTAAAACCGCATTATGTAATAATTGACGTAAAATGTAATAAAAGTCTTCAATGCATTATGTAATAATGTCATAAACTCGAGCTAAAACCGCATTATGTAATAATTGACGCAAAATGTAATAAACTCACGCTAAAACCGCATTTTATAATAATTTACTCAAAATGTAATAAAAGTCTTTAACGCATTATGTAATAATGTTATTACATTTTGCAGCAATTATTACAAAATGTGGTGGTGTAATAATCTGGTGCATTATGTACTAATGTAAAAAAATCAGGCTTCAAAATGTGATAAACACGCGCTAAAACCGCATTATGTAATAATTGACGCAAAATGTAATAAAAGTCTTCAACGCATTATGTAATAATGTCATGAACTCGAGCTAAAACCGCATT